GGGGTAGGCTAGGGAAAGGCATGACTCATGGAGTTATCACGGTGCTGTTCAAGAAGGGGGACAAGACGGAAGTAAGGAACTGGCGACCAATTTCGCTGCTGAATGTCTCGTACAAAATTCTTGCCAAATCTCTTGCCCGGCGGTTGGGAAAGTACTTACCACCGAAGTTACCGGAGCTCGTGGAGAAGGACCAAGGAACTTTCGTACAGGGGTGGTCAATATTCAACAATATAGTGACCGCCATCGAGACATTGGAAGTTGTGCAAGCCGAGAACTTGGATATGGCAGTACTCCTTTTTGACTTAGAGAAGGCCTACGACAAGGTGGGGTGGACCTTCGTCCTAACCACCCTGCGGAGGATTCGGTTCGGAGACAATTTTTGCTCATGGGTCATTGCAATGTACACATTTCTGGGGCTGGGGTGGTGGGAGGGGTCAACATCGTCCTCAGTGGAGGCTGAAATGGGCAAGGGGTGGCGAGGGCATGTTTTAGGAGGGAACTGTGTGTCCTCGGGGACAGGGGTGGAGGGGGTTGGTCCTATATTGGGGCCGAGGGAGAGCGGGACGCTCGCCTCGGTGGGGGCAGTATAGGGCTGAGGGGGTAGGGGGAGGGAGGGGTGTTTTTTCTTTTGAAGATTTTTTATCTTTCAGCCCAGCAATTTTTCTCTTTATTCATTCCATTTGGTTCGCCTCTTGAGGACGTTGTAGGAATATGTGAAATCAGGCAAGTCATCTTTGATCTTGCGAAGGGTGGTCGAAAATTCGGTGGCCCTCGATGACCGATGCTGGAGCGACGCTGGCCGGAGCCGGAGCCGGAGCCAGGTGGCGCAACTTTGTGACCTAGCTTAGTGGGGGCGTGAGGCCTAGATGAGATCTGGGGGGCTGTTTGCGGGGGCAGTCTCAGTGGCCATCGGGGGTCGTAACTGAAGCAATGCTGGCCGGTGCTGGAGCAAGGTGGTGCAACTCTGTAACCTAGCCTGATGGGAGCATGAGGCGTGGAAGAGCTTCGGTTCATGCTGAAAGCAGCCATGCTGGTGGTGATCGCAGGTGGACTGAATAGGTTTCACCTATCTGATTTGTGGTTGGGAAGCTTGTCGACACACATTTTTCGAAGGTTTCTGAGTTTTTTTTCTTCAATTGTTCTCAGCCGAAGCCGGGTAATGGCCCCGGTAGCTTTTTGTTGTATTCTGATAAGGAACGCTGGTCCCGGTTCCCAGCCATGTTGCTCCCCACGAATAGATTGAAGCATCGTCTCAAAAAAAAAAAAAAAAAAAAAAAAAGTACACATTTTCGACGTTCGCTGTGATGATAAATGGGCACCTCTTAGATTCTTTCACGCTGTCAAGGTCGTTAAGGCAAGGCTGCCCTCTTGCGCCACTCATCTTCGTGCTACAAATGGAGGTACTCCTATCAGTGAACAGAATACGCCATCACCCACATATCAAGGTCCTGCAGCTGCACACCGGGGAGAAATGCCGGGTGAAAGGCCTGGCGGATGACCTGTTCGCGTTTGTGAGAACTTTGTTCCCTCGCTTACGGCGTTGAAATCCATCATGGTAGAATACTCAGTACTCACCGAAGCCACAGTGAATTGGGGTAAATATTCATACCTGCTCCATGGCCTGTTTGAACTGAAGGTAGAATGGGGAATGAAGAGAAGAACTAACGGGGAGGAGGAAAGGTTCCTAGGCGTCCTAATCAGTCTACAGATGGACGCCTCAGGGCAAGGACTGCTGCTGCAGCAGCGGATGGCGGCCAAACTTAGAGTGTGGGGATTTGCATGGTACCTCTCAATAGCGGGAGGTGCTCTAGTGGTAAACGCAGCATTATTCTCAATACTGTGGTTCGTCACCACGGTAAGGGAACTGGCGGAGGGCGTGGTGAAAGCCATCAGAAGGCTGGTGTCCCGGTTCCTCTGGAAACCAAAAGCTCAGAATTCTGAGGGCTTCATTTCTCAAAGTGGCACTAGATACCCTGTCCTATCCCAGGGAAAAAAGCGGACTTGGAATTGTGGATCCTACACGGAAAAATCAGGCTCAACTGCGAGGTTGGGTTACCGAGGTAGCCAATGCAACGGAAAGAGAGCATTGGATTACGCTGGCCGAGCGCATTTTGGCACAAAAATGGGGACTGAGTCGCCCGGAGGACGTCTGGAGGTGCTTCTTCATGCCCTCTTTCACGAAGAAGCGCCTCAGATCGGCTTTTTGGGAGCCTATCCGCAGAGTGTGGCGGAAACTTCCGGCAGACGTCCAACAACAGCCAGCCACAAAGGAGGAAGTATTGCGTCAGGTACTGTTCGAGAACACAACAATTCAGAATCAGGCAGGGGTACCCTTCCCTGCCGCTGGGTCCACGGGGTTGTTTGGTCAAGCTTGGGCGAAGCATGGTGTGTTGAGAGTGGAGGACCTGTGGTGCCCATGGAGGGGAAATTGGAAACCGCTTAATGAGGTTAGGGACGGACTGAGAGGGCTGCAACGTGTAGGAGACCATCTGCATGACATCTTGTTGGCGATTCCCCAACAGTGGATGAAACTGCGAGGTCCAGAGGGCCAAGACCCAGTTGGAACCTGGTACAAGTCAGAAATGGAGGCGGAAGGAAACGTGTTGTGGAAAGTGCTGGACCGTCTCCCAAGTGGGTTCAGGAAGGTAGAACGGTGGCGCTGTGTAGGCATCTCGAATGCCCTTGTCTGGATCGAGGAAACTAATATCATCATGACATGGGACAACCCTACCCAAGTGACGGTGGTTGAGAGGCGTGACAAGGAATCAAGACGATGCAGACAGATCTGGGTAGGAAGATTGCCGCTCACGCAGCTATGCATAGGTCCGCAGGCTTGGAGTTGGCCGTCCAAAAGTGTAGACACTCCGAACCTGAAGCTACTAGACTATTCCGTAGCGCAGGGGTACCGACTCGCGACTAAGCCAGGTAGGACCCCAGCCCAGATTGCGACACAAAGATGGCAGGCGGTATACACTCAGGACCTCGTCGAAGCAGAAGCACAGTTCGAGAGACTGTGGACGAGTTTCATCCGTATGCCTAATGGCAAACAGGTAAGTATTCTCTGGTTACTATCTATGCTAGTGACCCCCTCAGCAGTCTGGCTAACGGGGAGAGGGATGGTAGTTGAGCTCGGATGCACGAGATGCAGGTGGCCCTTCGAGTCAACGCGGCACCTGTGGTGGGAGTGCCCGACCTCTAAACGGGTCAAGATGTGGTGGTCACATCACTGGAGAGAGTTTGGAGGAGAGGGAGTAGTATGGGATGAAAAATGGGTTTTGCTGGGCTTTCTCCCTCCAAGTGTAAAAGGACACCGTGGTTGGGGTTACTTAGCTCATGTGACAAGGGGTCTGATCTGTGAAGTCCTGTGGAAAGACAGAAACAGAGCAAGGTTTCAGAAAAGACCCCTGTCGGACCTCGATATCAAAAGCGGCATGAGGAGCGGTCTGAGGAAGGCAATTCGAGTGGATTGGAGGAAAAAAGCCAAGTCAGGGAAAGGAAGCAGAAGGCAAGTACTGTGGTTTCTCCAAACATGGGCCAAGAAGCGTAAGCTGGCGGCGGTCCACTCCACGAGGGGACTGGTCTTCTCACCTTGGATCCGTGAATCCGGACCAAGAGGGAGAAAGTAGTGATAGAGGGGAAGGAAGAAGTTGAGAGCTTGACCAGGAACCTCAACAGATCCGGGACCCCAGGCTCAGGAATCCTAGCGGTAGCGTAGATAGTGGGCTGTTTAAAATTAGTATATCTGTTGGGGACCAGGACACTCAGTCCCAACTAGGGTCGCTGTGGGTCATTAGGTGAGTGTCATTAGGTAGTGATTTAACCCGCTGCGCCGTGTTAGTCCCAGGGGTAAGTCAGGTAGTGGGAAGTTGTCAAGTCTATCTAAGTCCTACCTTGAATTGCATTGTTACAGCTACTCAATGTTGTCGGCATCAGAACAGTAAATTGTTATACCAGTGTGAGTTTTCTGCAACCCGAATAGCCGTAGGCTGCGAGACACCAAGTAGCCACAAAGCACGATGGTTGGCTAATTACAGACAATAGGAGTACCACGACTTCAACCTTTCAAAAACTTTCGAGTTGTGGCCTTAGCTAGAGCTGTTGGTAGGAATCTGGAAAGTTGGTAGCTTTTGGACTTTCTGCAGGCGTACGCCTGTAAGCTAAGCTGGCTGATGCTGTCAGTATCCCGGGTTGAATTGTGAGGTCCCCGGGGTCTCGTCCCGTCTACAGAGTTGAGAAAACTCAACGTTGAGCTTTCTATCACGTGTGGCATGGTAGGACGGAGCTTTGCCGTTGATGTATTGCGAATCTAATGGTACCAAAATACATGAGAATAACCTATTAGATTTAGGGCGTCGTTCGACACTCCTCAACGCGTCCTCGGGCTCCAAGGACGAATCCTTGGAGTTTTTTTTAATTTTTGGAGGTCTCGCTCCACCTGTCCTCGGGAATCCTCGGGGCCCTCCCGCGGCCAGTTTCATGAGATTATACACAGCCGCGGAAGGCATGTCCGGCCTCCGATTCTGGATGTCCGTGTAGGAGGCGTGGTGGTCCACAAGTCCGACGGCGGGAAAACATCACAGGCCCTGGAAAAGGAAATCGGGAAGGTGGGAACAACCCCTTTCGAAATTCGAAATTTGAATTTTCTTCTTGCGGAGCGACGTGGTGGCGGCGCACAGGCGGGTCGGCCAGGGGGCAGTCCACGCCTCGCAGGGTTTCGGTTGCCATCGCGTTACATATTTCAGCGGCGTCGCACAGCCACTGTCTCAAGTGTGCTCGGCACGGCAAAACGAAGACGTCCGATCGGCAGTTGCGTTCGCCACGTGGAGGCGCGCGGCGGTTCCGTTCTTCAGCGGCGGTGGGCGAACGCTCCAATCGGGGCGGAACATTGTTGGGCCGGGCTATCTTCCTCACCTGGTTGCAGGCGTCTTCAATCATGGTGGCAGAGGTGCACGCAGGTGGGTGGCGGCGGACGTTGTTTTCCGTGTTGGAAGGGCGTAATGGAGAAATGCGATGGCGATGGCCCTATTGTACTGTCGACGATGGAGAAGACAAATGTCGTGGCGGCTGCGGTTGCCGTCATCCGTCGTTTGCAAGTAGAGAGTGCGGCCGGGCGCATGAAGGCAGCGCTTTCAAGGCGGCGGCAGAGGCTTCTGCTGCAGAGGGTGTTGGACGCCCCGGACTGCATCACCACTTCCGAGGTTCAGTTGTGCGCTGCAATCGGGTGCGGTTTGGTTCCTCGGGCGACGCCACGTTGGTGGATGAGGCGGAGAGCTGGCGGGACTTGGGAGGATTTTCAGGTGTGCGATGACACGACAGACGACTACTTTCGAGAAAAGCTCCGCATGTCGAGGAGAGTGTTCATGGAGATCAGCAAAGCCTGTGCGCCTCATGTGCAGCGGCAGGTGACATTTTACAGGGAGCCACTCCAGCCGGACCAGATCGTCGCGTACGCGCTGTATAGGTGGGCTACAGGAGAGTCTTACAAGAACAGCACATCATCCTTCGACATGGGCAGGACATCCGGAGTTCGAACCGTGCTCGATGTGACAGCCGCTATGTTGAGGGTGTACGGGAACAAGATATCGTGGCCGACGGGGGTGCGGAACCACGTCGTGCTACGGGCGTTTCTGGACAAGGGCTTTCCAAACTGCCATGGCGCAGTTGACTGCACACACATCTACGTGGACAAACCGGCGAACGCGCCGAGCGAGAACTACTTCGATCGCAAGCACCGTTTCTCCGTCATTGCGCAGGTGGTGGTGGACCTGGATCTGCGCATGCTTGACGTGTTCGTTGGATATCCGGGGAGCTGCCACGACATTAGGGTGATCCAACTGTCAAGTCTGTCGAGGCGCGCGGAAGAGTGATTGCTATTTCGTGGGCCGCCTGTCACGCCGTCGGGAGGGGTGAGGACGAACGGATACATCTTGGGCGACAACGGGTATCCTCCTTCTGAATGGGTAGTGGTGCCATATGGAGGAATCAATCAGCACTTGGACGAGGAAAGGTTCGACACGAAGTAGAAGGTCGCAAGAGGGGCCGTGGAGAGGACGTTTGGGAGGTTGAAAGGGATGTGGAGGCTCTTCTTGCGGACGCACAATACGAACCTCGACAGTCTGCAGCAGCAGTTCACGACAGTCTGCATTCTCCACAACATCCTGCTTGATGCAGGTATCGAGTTCGATGAAAATTTGTTGTGGGAGGTCGACACGAATGGGGTGAGGCGCCGAGTGGACCTGAGGATTCATCGCCCCCGCAGCCAGTGTCGATGTTGACTTCCACGCGCGAGGCTCACGCACTCCGCAATGCGCTGGCGGAGCGAATGAAACACATGTGATCCTTCCTACCGCCTGCTTGTTTGTCTTGTTGAAGTCGTGTTCCGCCATCGCCGATTGACAGCGCTTGCGTCCTCCGCTTACGCGCGCGATTGCTTCGGAGGGTTTGCTTTCGCGGACGGGTTCTTTTTGGGTTTTCGTTGTTGCAGTCGAGGACAGACTTCTTGTCCAGTCCGTCGAGCACTGGGAGTGACGCGGCTTCAATGTTGTTGTAGTCGCGGCAACGGTGGTCTGTTTGTTTTTTGGCTCTTCATTGTTCTTGTAGCGGACGATATTATTTTCCCGCGCTATGCCATGGAATCCTTGATGGGAAAAGAGGTAGTGTGGGGTAGGAGGGGGGGGGGGGGGGGGGGGGGGGGGGGGGGGGGGGGGGGGGG